CAGAATCACGTGAGTATCGACGTTTGCACGCAAGCACCAAATCCTGGACGCATGCGACAACAACCTACAGAGGTGTACTACGATAGCGGGAGCGGGTGTTTGCTCGCTGTTTAATTACGGCGATTGTGGAGGGAAATGGAAACAGCTTCGCAACGCTTCAAGGATGTCTGATAGCGTTGCCAGAGGTTTCGTCGCACAGGTTGATTATTGAATCACCCTTGAATCACCGCGATCACATTTCTCCACGTCTAAAAATATATCCATCGATCTGATTGAGTATAATTGATTGCACAGTGAGTGATTGAATCGCCCTTTCACTCGATCACATTTCTGGACATCCTAAAAATATATCCATCGATATGAATGAACATTGTCAGACGAATTATTTCACTCTCTGCTTCCTTCGTCCTTCGAGTCTGTGTTGGTTTAATAAGTAAATCACTACATATCATTACAAAATGATTTTTACTGCAAATCATGGTATCTATTACAAAGAATCCATTGATATTAACGTCTTCAATTAAAGCTCTTGATATCGCTCGATATTCACCAGTCACCGATCTATACCCGTCCGCACCCTCCCTGAAACTCGTTGATGTTTAAATTAAACGAAGACATGCACGATGTTAAATAACCGTGGGCGTCATTTGTCACGTGTGCTGCAGAGCGCGCCACCTGTGATACGCCACCAGAGGTGGGCTCTTGCCGCTCGAATTTCCAGCGCTGGTTCTTCAACTCAAAGACTAGTTCATGCGAGACCTTCACGTTTGGTGGCTGCAGTACCAATCTGAATAACTTCTTCAGTAAGGGAGAATGTCTTGCCAGGTGTGGAGGTAGGTTCGAGGATAAGTAAATGGATATGCGTGCGTGCGTGCGTGCGTGCGTGCGTGCGTGCGTGCGTGCGTGCGTGCGTGCGTGCGCCGTTCGCGCGTGTGTTGCTCATGTAGGTCAGCCATGAAATAATAGCACAGTTCTCGTTTTTAAAACGTAGTCTCGTTATAAACATAGACAATGAGTAGATAAATACACAAGTATGCGTGCGTGCGCGTACGCGTGCGTGCGCGTACGCGTGCGCGTGCGTAACATATGTGATAAATGGGCTTCGATTATCGATTTATTTTTCTTGCTGCTTCAGTTGACACGACCAGATCTACCTGTCCAGGAGCGCGACAATGCGACACTACGAACCTGTGCGCTGACAACACGTGCGAGTTCAACCCTAATGCGACATGTACCATCGACCCGTGTCGTTGTGAGGTTGTCTTCAAAGACGAGTTTGGCAAGACCGTCGATTGCGGAAAACGTAAGAGGATTTTTCGATGATATAATGTAGAAATATAGAACTTGCTTCGATCAAAATCTAATTTCAAACCTGAATTGGCGCTAAATTGGTCCGAAGATGCCCCCACCGTACAAACACCTTAATTATATCAGATTTTGTCAATAAAACTAATTCTCTTAGATACGTGTGGTACAGACAGACGTATATTTAGGTGCAATGCGATATAGTTCGCCAAGCACGTACGCTAACCGAATCTATACCGTGCAACTGCACGCTCATTTCAGTGTTACCAAAGTGTCTGCGCGATAGACTGGCCCACCGGCTGGGTAACTACATGCCACAGTGCGACGAAAACGATGCCTACAAACCGCTGCAGTGTGTGGATGGCGGGTCCGAGTGTTGGTGTGTCGACAGTCTAGGCAGCGAAGTGCCAGATACCCGCGTCTCCGGACGTACGCCCTCTTGCCGTAAGTATGTCCATGACCTGTAATAATATATTTAACATAGTGTTTACGTCGCTGATCTGTAAGGGTCTAAAATAGGCGAGTGCGTGCTCGTTTGTGTGTGTGTGCGCGCGCGCGTGCGTGCGTGTGTGTGTGTGTGTGTGTGTGTGTGTGTGTGTTGTGTGTGTGTGTGTGTGTGTGTGTGTGTGTGTGTTTGTTTGTGTGCGCGCGTGCGTGCGTGCGTTTGTGTGTGCGTGTGTCAGCGCGTGTGCGTATGTTTATATGTTTGCATGCAAGCTAGCGTGTACTCTAGATTTACAGGGGTGTGTCAAAAAGAAGTGGATGGTAAAATAAACATAGATGGTATTTTTAACATTTTATAAGTTTTGTGTAATGAACAGGGATAGCATATTAGTATCATACTATCAAAACCTTACTACTGCGTGTACATCACATCAACATCTAAGCAACATTCATGACTCAGGTATTTCTCTCTCTGCAGGTGTAAACGACGTGGACAAAGTAAACATTGTTCTCCGCTTCCCAGTAGAGTTCAGCACAGTGGAAGGCCAACAACAAGAGTTTATTGAGTAAGCCTATCTACACAATATACACATAGTATCAGAACTGAATAAAAACAATATATGTTTTTATTCAGACCTGATCATATTTAAATAATTTGCAGGTAGTCGTAGCAGTAGTAGCAGAAGCAGACGAAGGAAGCGCAGCGGCGAGATCAGAAGCAGAACCAGCATTTTATTTAATTACTTGCCGATTGTATTATATTGCGAAGCCGCTGTTTCCATTATAGCCTGCACCGTAGGTTATAATTATTAATTAATTTGATTTTTTTTATTGATTTAGTCTATTTATGATTTGACTTCATTCTTAAAACTGATTTGATGATGTCGTAGATGATTACAACTTTCCCTTACAAATTGTTCACTAAAATCTTTGTGTATTACCTTTACTGGGAGTTAAGTGACTGCTTTGTGTAATCGCAGGCTGCTTATATCTGTGCTGATGAACGATTTCCAGTTAACAAGAGCCCAGATTGAAGATATTCGTGTAAGTTCCTGACACCATGTTTTACGAGTTGATGACATCTCGTAGAACGTCGTTTTCATATCATAATACATGATATTATACTTATAATATTATACATTGTTTCCTTTCGAAGCAAAAAAATAACCCAATAATGTAATTATAAAAAAATGGAAAAAATAGTTAATGATGATGAATGAAAAAATATTAATGATGATGATGATAACAATAATAATGACAATAATAATAATATAACCTTTGTAATGGGTGAATACTTGATACCGTTGGTAGTTAATGTTTATTATCTCTCGTGCGTGTTATCATTGATGACCTCACGTATTACATTTCTGTAGCTGTACCGTGGAAGCATTATCGCTGAAATTGTAGTTACCGGAGAAAATGCGACAAACGCTGTGGATTTCCTGCAACACAATGTATGTATAGCTCTGCTTGATTTCTGCTCAATCACCATCAAAAGCTGATCAGCGCATTGTTATTTCTTTATGTATCAAAATATAACTCATTTGCACAATGACCCGTCTATTTCACCTCACTATTTTTTGTCATTCTGAGTTTAATCAAAAGCAGTTTAATATAAATATGAAACTCGTCATGAATTTTTATCCTACTTGGCACGTAAGCTTAATCCCACCCTTGAGATTTGTTTCGTAAGTCGTTTCTATGGCAGCGGTAGACTCGTGCAGAAGCAGTCTAAGTTGAGGGTGGAAACGGAGATTTTTGGAACGCGGTATTGCACCATTTTAATTATCATAAAACCAGTAAATATCAGATAATACTTTCCGCGATTCGACAAAAGACGTCATCTGGGACACGAAAAAGTCCCGTTCCCCGTTAAGTTCAAATTAATCAGGAACTGGAAAAGATTTTCACTTAAGGATATTGAAATAGACTTACAACTTGAAATGGAGTGCCCGTTCCCACCTCAAATCTACTTCCGCACATTGCAGTTCCTTCTACTAAACTCGTAACTAGTATATAGTAATAATTACTTGGTATTACTTATTAATAATTTCTTTTATTAATTAAGTATAATAAAACAACAATCAATTGGGAAACTAAATATGGAGTGCCCGTTCCCACCTCTAACGTACTCCCTCTTGCACACGACAGTTCCTCGTTCTACTAAACTCGTAACCAATAGTAACGGGTGTACACGCCGATGTCTGCACCACAGGTACGGGAGAAACATTTCGTCGTGGAGCTGAATGGAGAGCTGCTGGTACCGGACAGTGCCGTCGCCACATACTACAGGTCACCCATCTCAGAGAAGCAGCTGCGAGAATTGGAACACAGCAACTTCGTCAAGAAGGTGGTGTTGGCCGTCGTCGGCAGCGTCATGGGTGTGCTGCTCATTGCTGGCGTCATCATATGCTGCGTGGTACGTAACCTTGGCCCACGCGTGTCCTCGGCCAAAATATTTAGACCTGGGGGCCGTTGTCAGAAACATCGTAAAGTTATAATGCTATGACTAATGGCGTCCCCGGCCAAAATATTGTATATAGTTAATAAATATAGTTAGTTAATATAGTTATATAAATATTGTTAATATTTATCGCTGAAGTATAAAGGTAGTCTAATAATTATTAATGACAATTAAGACGATATACCTGTAAGGTATAGAGAGAATATATGGAGGCTTTGGCACCCATGGCCACATATCCACGTACGCCCGCCCGCCCGCACACGCACACACGCACGCACGCATGCACAGAGAGAGAGAGAGAGAGAGAGAGAGAGAGAGAGAGAGAGAGAGAGAGCGAGAGAGAAAGAGAGAGAGAGAGAGAGAGAGCGGGATATGCACATGCGCGCAACAATATACGAAAACAAACAAACAACCAAACAAACAAACAAACAAACAAACGCCCTTTGCACAAATAGTGAGTGCAGTGACGTGTGTCTAGAATTCATATTCATCGAACTATTTTCCTATATTACATTTTTTCTACTGCTTAATCTAACATTGTGCTTTTATTTCAGGTACAGAAAAAGAAAAACACGAAATCGGCCGATCTCGATAACCCTAATGCGGTCGTACCAACCATGTATGCGGCTGGTCCGAAGTATTAGATGAACATCGGCAGTCAATCCTCAACTCCTACCCTCCAACTCCTATACCCAACTCCCAACTCCAATACCCAACCCAACCCAAACCCAACCCAACCCTCCCCTCCACAACCCAACCCAACCCAACCCACCCTCCCCAACCTTCCCCAACCCTCCCCAACCCAACGCCAACACAACTCCCCACCCAACCCTCCCCAACCCAACCCAACCCAACCAGCAAATACCTCCCTCCTATACTTCAACTCCTATCAATTGGCCGCACCCGGCAGATTAGATGCGATATGATATGACTACTTAGTACTAGGCACTTAGGATATGACTACTAGGCACTTAAAAAAAAAACCCTAACCCTAACCCTAACCCTAACCCTAACCCTAACCCTAACCTAAACCCTAACCCTAACCCTAAAAAAAAAAATTTTTTTTAAGTGCCTAGTAGTCATATCATATCGCATCTAACTGCCGGTTGCATCATTTGCTGCCGATTCGTTTCCGGTGGGCGTCTAGCGGTGTTTATTAGTACTAATGTGTAATCGTAGACACCCAGTAGTGTGCGACTGTATCGGATATCATGTCCGTAACCGTCTTTGATTTGCAGGAGTCCGTAGAATAGACTAGCTGCCAACAAATCAAAACAAGCTTCTAGAAGATAGTAGACACCGATGGACTGATTTGCATTTACAAAAGCCTGCGGGGCATAACACGTTGATATTAGCTGTGAGCTAGGTGGCTTTAATCGCCACTGGTGATATATTCTCTCAGTATCATAGTCGCATTTGTAGTTCACTAAGACGGGTAGTTTCGTGATGCATTGATACCATATGATATTAGAAGTTTATGACTGTAGGACAACGTTGATAACCGCACGCGTACGTTGCGGGGATATTTTTTAGGTTTCAACGTATACGTAGACTCAAAAGTTACCAACGGTACTATATTATATCTATGTAACTTTGCTTTCTCAGGATCAAAATGGTTTTACTATTCTCATAACAAACATACACACCACGAGTCTCACAGGCAGCTAGCGTTAACATAGTGTTAACTTGAATTTTAAAATGCTGTTAAAATGTGGCTATACATGCGGCAACCCATTACGCATTGCTGTATAGATTCTGCTACATGCGGAAAAATACCGTTAACGTGTGTTCCCTATATTTTGAATATCATTTTTATGGATTAGGTCTATGAGATATGTAAAGCAATTGTGCCTAATATTTTTTAATCATGAAGAGGATGCTAGATATATCTGATAAATAGTGTTCATTTAAAGTTGGTGCCATTTTCAGCTACTTTAAACAAATGTTAAAATTGCGTCAGCGTCATTTGTTTTTTTGAATGATTCGACTATTTTACCTCTGTGACTGTATATCGATATAAGTTGTAAGAATTCTCTAATATGTCCTGTGATAGAAAAGATGAAATACATGTTAGCATATTCAGTAACAGCATTTAATGTTTGTTGTCAATATTTCAGTGGATGTTTTCTTACTAATTCAGGGAGCTATTTTTATATGTCGTGCCGCTGGTCTGTCACCTGTCACCTGTCACTTGTCATCTGTCACCTGTCACCTGTCATCTGTCACCTGTCACTTGTCATCTGTCACTCACGTGACTACTTACTGTTGCAATTTATACAATCAGAGAGAGAGAAAGGTGGAGGAAGTGGGAGAGATGGACACGTGCGCACAATCACGCGCGCGTGCCCACGCACGAACACGGGCACGCACGCACGCACGCACGCACGCACGCACGCACGCACGCACATAGATACGCGTATTATAGACACATATAGACACAGAGTCGCTTACAGACGCCAGATTCCTCTCTATATGTTTTTATATTCATGTTCTCTGGCCTTCCTTTTCTCGCCTTCCTTTTCTCTCACTGTGCTTATTTCACTTACTTTCTCCTCCCGTCTCTTGCTGTCTCTCTCTCACACTTTCCTACTATCTCTCTCTCAATCCTTTTCTCATTTCTTCCCACACTTTCCCTCTCTCTCGCTTTCTCTATCCTATTACCCTCTTCTTCTCTTCCTTCTCTCATTCTCCTTCACCCACCTCTCTGTCCCTACATTATAGGGACGCACGCACGCACGCACGCACGCACGCACACGTAGTATACACATACAGGCATAGTAAAATACGCTCACGAAATCCCTGTCCCTGTCCTTTTCGCTCCCCTTTGCCTTCTCTTTCTCTATTCCTTCTTTTCTTTTTATCCCATTCCCTTCCACTCTCTTCCTCTGTCTCTCTCGCCCCTCTCTCTTTCTCTCTCTTTCTCTCTCTCTCTCTCTCTCTCTCTCTCTCTCTCTCTCTCTCTCCTTATCTACTGCTCATCTCATCTATCTCTCTCTCCTGCGTCTCTCGCTCTCGCATCTCTCATCCTCTCTTTCTGCCTCTGCTTTCCCTCTCTGTCTCTCTATCTCTATGGAAGTGTAAGAACTAAGAAGTACACGTACGTACAATGACATGCCCGTAAACTTGTCTGTAGACACGTACATACAGCGATACGCACGCACGCACATACGCACGCACGCACACACGTTCGCACGCGCACTCACGCACAGACGATTATTACGCGAGCATATAGACACAAACGGAGACGATATTCCCCCTGCCTCGTCTTTTTCTCCGTTTTTATTGTCTTCTATTTTTCTATTCAAAACTTTATTCTTATCTCATTATCTCCGACTCATTTCCTGCCTCCCCATTTTTTTGTCTCTCCCTCACTCTCGCCCTCCCGTCTCTCATCGCTCTTTTTCCCTCGCAATCTCTCATTTGCGCGCGCTTTCTCTCTCTCTCTCTNCTCTCTCTCTCTCTCTCTCTCTCTCTCTCTCTCTCTGCTTCTATAGAAAATCGCGTATTCGCTACTTTGGTGAAGCAGCAACCGCCCCGTCATAATTCCCTCCCTAAAACTAATGTATGGCGATTCGGGCGTCGGCAGCCTGGCGACGTAGCGCCCACAGTAAATGACCTAGAGCCGATGTCAAGTAATTAAAAAAGAAGGTGAGAGCTGAGTAGGTGGTGCGCATAGAATATTGCCACCTCTCTATATCGATGGGGCAGCACTGCTCCGCCACGATTCCCTGCCTTTACTAGTATATACGATTTGCGATGCACACCTCCTGTAGGCCTGGTATACTTTCCCTTTGAAATGTTTACCATCGGTCGTACGTCATTTCTTTTGGGCGACACGTTGCCGACGCGTCCGCGCCCCATCCCTGTATATTAGTATAGCAAGAGACCTATCGCAGGGAAGTGTTAGAGTTTAATATTGTTAATTGTTTAGAGCTGATTTAACCATGCACATCTCTCGCGGGCATGCCCCTGTCAATTTTGACCGCGTAGTGTGGCCGAAAGAAATGATCTTGATTAATAACGCAACCAACTGGACATTTGCACAGCATTTGCATGCAAACTTGAACATCTAGAAATCCCGATTGTGATCTTATTAATTGCAACAATAAATTTTAGAGAACACATACCCACCACCTACTGTGCTGACAGAAAATTACTGTACATAGTTGTAGCTAATTTATGTGCTGTGTAGCAGGAAACCTTTGTTTTGATTGCGCATGTTCAATATCTGCCAAATAGAATAATATTTTGTCGAAATTTTGCTTTTGAAATAAAGAGAAAATACTCGTCGCAATACAGTGACGTGATCAATGAATCTCAATACCTGACTGTCATAACAATAATAAAACTTAAATCAGCCAATAGATGGCGATACGTGTTCTACAAAATATATGCAGCTGTGTGGCCAGCCTTTGTCAAATGGATGAAATACTCATTTGTCGAGATTGTATTTTTATCTTAGAGAACATATACCAACAGTACCATACCATACTGTAACAGTTATACAGTTATACTCACAGAGTGCCCAATAGATTTCCTGTAGCATAGTGTCTGTTGACTTCTTCCGCTCGTTTAGGATAAATGAGATAAAGGTGCGATTTTTGGTAAGAGCGTGTGTACGCGATTTTCATTTCATTATACATACACACACGCGCGCGCGCGCACGCACGCACGCACCCACGCACGCACGCACGCGCACACACACGCACACACACACGCTCACGCACACGCACGCACGCACGCACGCACGCACGCACGCACACACACACACACATATATATATATATATATATATATATATATAATACTAATATATTTTATTCAAATTTAACAGGTCCTTATATACTCCATGTCATTGGACAGCTCCAGACTATTTGCAGGCAAATTTTACCCCCTATGCGCAGCTAGCAATTCTGACAACCTGGCTGTTGAATGTTCTCAGGAACTGTAAACCCTTATTTGTTGAGAGTAGTGATCTAGTGATTGCATGAAACCCACTCCCATCCTTCTGGGGATTGCGATCTCCGGTTTAAGACTATTCCATTCTAACATGCGAGTTGTGGCCGATGAATCATTCGTAGCTTGATATTCTAAACAGGAGGTGGCGCCACCGTTAACCTTGCAGCGATTGTACGAGGTCGCAACGACTGCGGGTGTGTTGAGCCTATTTATTAGACTAATGATTTTGTAGTATATATCGCCAGCGTGCGGCTTGTAAGCCACCGTAGACACACGCAGATATTGAAATAGCTCTTGTGAATAGTTGTAAGCACGCATGCACGTATGTGTCCATGTTTTTAACAACAGGTTGTACATCTCCTTGGCGATACAGCCTCTAAATATCCCATCAAAAATTATTATAGTTTAATGACGAAGGATCAATGGCCACCGAGTACGTATATGTATGTATAAACTATATATATATATATATATATATATATATATATATATATATA